GCACTTTGCTTTGTGTCGGCGCGGTTTCTCCTGAGACGTCCTCGCAATTTGCGTGGTTTCGCCTTGGCTTCGCCTGGTTTGGGTGGTTTCGCCTGAAACGTCCTCGCAATTCGGCGGTTCCTTTTCAAAGTGTGTGTGTGTGATTGTGTGTGTGTTTGGGGGTGATAGCAGGATGTCCCCCCAGAGGGAGTGGCGTTGCCACCCCCCAGCACGTCCCCCTCCCGAAGGGAGGAAGCGCCGCCCTGGGGGCCCCTCCTTGCTTAATGGAGAGCGGGCGGCCAGACCGAGACCATAGCCAGCGGTGAGGCGAGAACCAGGGAGTGGCCAGCGTTCGGGCGAGAGCGCACGTCAACGTCGTCGTCGTAGTCAAAATCATCGTCGTCGTCGTCGCGTTGGTCGTCGTCGGCGTCGTCATGAGGGGGCCCGGACGCTCTGAGACACATTGTCTTTTGTCACATGGCGTAGGGAAGTGAAGGAATCATTCAGTCACACACGTGGTGGGCGAAGACATTCGGAACGTTATGGCCCCTGGGGGTTCCTAGGACACATTGGGCGTTGTCGATGTGTGTATGACGGTGAAGTTACATTTCACACACGTCGTGGGTGCAAACGCGCGAAGCAGGACGGAGTGTATTGAAATTTTAAAAGAGCGCGTTTTGTGGTCGCTTGGAGGGGGGGGGGTGAAACCGGACCCCCCCCCTCCCCGGACCCCCCCCCTCCCGTGACGGGGGGGGGGTCGACCCCCCCCCCCTTTCCCTCCTCTGCTTCCCCTCGCCTCAGGCCAGCTCTTGTGTCGGCGGCGGCTGGCGACGGCGGCGGGGACGACGATTTCCATTTCTGGGCCGGCGCCGGCGCCTGCGGCGGCGGGCGGCGGTGGCGGGGAGCGTCGACGAGGACGACGGTGGTGGTGGTGGTGGTGGGTTGTGGTGGGTGGTGGTGGCGGTGGTGGTGGTTGTGGTGGTGGTGTGGTGGTTTGTTGTGGTGCTGGTGGTTGTGGCGGTTTGTGGTGGTGGTGGTGGTTGTGGTGGTGGTGGTGATGGTGGTGGTGGTGGTTTGGTGGTGGTGTGGTGGTGATTTGTGGTGGTAGTGGTGGTGGTGGTGGTGGGTGGTGGTGGTGGTGGTGGTGGTTTCGTGGTGGTTTCGTGGTGGTGCGGTGGTGGTTTGTGGTGGTGGTGGTTGTGGGGTGTGGTTGTGGCGGTAGTTTTGTGGATGTGGTGCTGGTGGTGGTGGTGGCGGTGGTGGCGGCGGTGGTGGTGGTGTGGCGGTTTGTGGTGGTGGTGGTGGTGGTGGGTTGTGCTGCTGGTAATGGTGGTGGTTGTGGCGGTGGTGGTAGTTTTGTGGTATATTGTGGTGGTGGTGGTGGTAGTGGTTGTGGGTTTCTGTGGTGGTAGTGGTGATGGTGAGTTGTGGTGGTGGTGTTGTGGTGGTGTGGTGGTTGTGGTGGTTTGTGGTGGTGTGGTGGGGTGTGGTGGTGGCGGTGGTTTGTGGTCTGTTGTGGTGTGGTGGTGGCGGTGGTGGTGGTGGTGGTGTGGTGGTTTGTGGTGGTGGTGGTGGGTTGTGCTGAGTGGTGGTGTGTGGGTGTGGTGGTGGTGGTTGTGTGTGTGGTGGTGTGCTGTGGTGGTGGTGGTGGTGTGGTGGTGGTGGTGTGTGTGGTGGTGGTTGGTGGTGGTGGTGGTGGTGTGGTGGTGGTGGTGGTGGTGGTGGTGGCGTCCCCGCCGTCGCCGGCGCCAGCGCCGGCGCTGCTGGCCGCCGCCAGCGCCAGCGCTGGCGCGTGGGGGGGGGGTTGAACCCCCCCCGCTCCCCTGCGCCAGGGGAGGGGGGGGTTTCAACCCCCCCCCCATGGGCTGCCTCTGGTCATCGTCGCCGCGTCTCGCGGAACGCCCCGTCCAGGTCCAGGGGAGTGGGGAGGGGGAGGGGGAAACCTTTCCACCGAAGGGGAAGACGGGGGTGGAAGAGGAAACACCCCAAATTGCCTACGCCCTAAAAGGCTGGTGGGATTTACGCAGATCAGAGCGGGGGACCTCGCCGTCGTTGGGGGGATTGAACTGCGAAACAGGCGCCATTTTCAAAGGCTGCTGGTGGGTCCAGCGCAGTGGCGTCTCACGCAGATCAGAGCGGGACCTCGCCATCACTGGGGGGGGCTGCGAAATTGCCGCCACGTCCGAATGGTGCTGCTGGGTCCAGCGGAGTGATGTCTCACGAGATCAGAGCGGGACGCCGCCGTCGCTGGGTTCAAGGGTGCGGAGGAGTTGGGCGCCCTCTGGCTGCACCTTTACATGGTGCTTTCCAAGGTGACGACGGTTGACAACCTGCTGATGATACGCGACTCCGGCCTTGATTTCATTTTTCCCGTGGGCCGCTTGTATACCTGGCGGCGCGCGTGCGGGCGTTTAGGTCCCGCCCGAAAAAGTGCAGAAAGGAGGCGGAGAAGTTGTCGGGCGAGCTAGGTTTTGTTCGCTTCCTGCACCAGTTATGAACAACTGATCCTCTGGAGCGTCAGGGCAACATGGTGCGGGCAGCGCTGGTTGTCCAGCGCCCCAGGGGAAAAACAGTGCCACCATCCTTTCTCGTCTCGCCTCCGTCGTCGTCGTCCTCTTCCCCCTTCCCCGTCCGCCGTCTCCCTGCCGCTGCCGCGCTGGTTTCTCGGCCTCCCGTCGTCTTTCTCCTGCCCGTCATTCCCGCCCCCGTTATTTTTCGAGCCGTTCCCCCCTTGTCCTTCTGCCCCGCGTTCCCGCCCTCTTTCCTCTTTGTTCCTATGGCTTCAGTCATAGTTATTGTTGTATCGTCCCCCTAAAAGTCGCGTGGTGCGCGCATCCCATGTAGCGTGCGCAACAAATGACGACGCCTGCGTCGTCGCTGTCCGTGCACATGTGGGCCAAGTCGTTTCTTCACTTGGTGCAGATGGGTTGGGTACGCCGCATGTTAGCTTTAGCAGAAAACGTCGTAGACAGTATTCTCCAACATCTTTCTTTTGCGAGGATGTATCAGGCGAAATGACCGTCTGGGGAAATCCACCAAGCGTTGAAGATGGAGGTGCCCCGAACCGCTCCCTTCCTGGACTTCCCCAGTTGCTAAATTGGAGGTCGGGGGATGAGGTCGCATTTTAACGCCGAGGCCCCCGCCGGGAAATCGGTTTCGGTGTCGTGTTCGTATCGCGCGTGCGGGCGAGGCGAAGCTGCGTGGGCACGCGAGAGGAATGACCCCGCTGTCTCTAGGGCGATGCGGATGCAGTGGGCCGCCCCTCCGTCCCCGGTGGGCGCGCGGTGGCCCGGGGTGTCCCGCCGCGGTGTCTTGTGGTGTTTTGTTGGTGTCCCGTCGGTGTTTCGTCGGCGGTGGGCGGGTGGGTCCCGCATTTGATGTCGATCGTGAAGTCGATCGTGATATCGAACATGGGATCAAATGCGGGATCGGCAATGAGGTTGATTGTGACATTGGTTGTAAGATAGAAGGCGGGGACAACATGAAACTACATCGCAGCGCAACATCGTCACCACGCGCCGTCGCTGACCCGAGGGCGCGCATTTGCCAGCAGTTGTTTTTCCCCCCGCCCCAAACTTCCTTATCACCTGCAGGGTGGCCGTCTAGGTATGTCAGTATTACGTTGCAAACAACGTCCATCGCGCGACCCCATCGAGTGCGAGCGCGTTTCCCATCATCCGCCAGCGAAGCGCATTGAGCAAACAAATGGCAAACCGTGCATTTGGCTTCTTCATGGGCATCTTTGACACCGTTTCGGGGGTGTCTTGGAGTTTTTTTGAACCTGTCGGGCTTTTGAAGAGCTCTAGGGTGCGTCGTGGGGCAATGTTGTTGGCCATTTGGGTGGCATTGGTGGTCTTTCTGGGCCGTCTTGGAAGCCTTGGTTGGACTGTTACGGAGAGCCCACAGTCAGTGGATTGATTTGGTAGTATGGGTTTGCCAGAAAGCGGCTGGAGCATTTACGTCGCAGAAATTCAGGGCTGGAGCCCAAACCGTGGGAGGCTGAACCGGTTGCCCTCGTAGCAGTGAAGGACTGGAGAGCAGTCGTCTTGTCGGTATGAACGGCCCGAACACGCTCCTTCGGAACAGCTGCGGGTTGGAATCCCCCCCGTGGGCGGCTGGAGCGTTTCTCCTCGTAACACGGGCTGGAGCGCACTCGTCCTGTCGGCATGAGCGGCTGGAACACACTCCTCCATACAAATGGAGGTTTGGAGTCCACACCGTAGACGGCTGGAACGTTTCTCATCGAAGAAACAACATTTGGAACTGATTCGTTGTGTGGGCATGAACGGCTGGATTTTTCTTCGTGGAAATTGATTGCTGGAGCCACACTTCGTTTAGAGTTGAATATTTGGAAAGGGCGGGGGGAAGGGGGAGGGGTCGGGTTTTGGGGCGCGGTTCCTAGCATTGTATTCACCTCGTCGTCGGTCGCAGTCGTTTTCTCGGTCGGTCTGTCGGTCGGTCTGGTCGTCTGTCGTCGTTGTCGGTCGTCGTCGCCTCGGTCGGTCGTTCGGTCGGTTGGTCGGTCGTCGTCGTCGTCGCCGTCGTCGGTTATCATCCTCGTCCTCCTCGTCGGTCGTCGGCCGGTCGCTCGATCCGTTGGCCTGTCGGTTGATCGGTTGTCGTCGGCAAGTCGGTTGTCGTCGTCTTCGCTCGGTATCCTAAGAGTTGGTTCCAAATTGGCTACCTCACGGCTCCCAAACATTCCGGGCAATGTGTTTTCATTTTACTTTCACTACCAAGAGCCACCCACGGACTGTGGGGGAGCATCGGGCTGCCCAGGAAGCCTTGGGAGAGAGAGGGCCGATGCACGCGAGCAGGCGTGGGGCGAGGGGTGGGGCTCCTTAAAAGACGTTTGCGGGAGCGCTGCTTAACAGCATTTGGCATTCTTCCATGCTTCACGACGGCACGGGACACGGTGACGGATTCAGATTTCGCCTCAAAATGAGGTGACGGAGGTTGGATAATGGGTGTTTTCTTTGTCGCGAAATCTCGGTTCGAATGTTGATGTCAGCGGGGGGCAGGCTGGATCGTCATGATACTCTTCTGCGGTTACATGGAGCTCAAAGTGTGGAAGCAGGATGTGGCCAGTGATGCTTGGCACGACCGCCTGCTGCAGCGCGTGGCGTGTTTTCAGATTCGCGCAGACGCGCAGGCTCTACTTTTTTCTCGAGCGAGACAAATGAAGGTCGAGAGAGACAGAGGGAGAGAGAAGGGCACAGAGATGCATGGAGGTAAGTCGCAAACGATAGCATTCGCGCGCACACCATATACGTGGACCCGGAGGCGGGAATCAGCGAGGCAGAAGAGGGGGAGGAGGTGACACGGGGAGAGAGAGAGAGAGAGAGATAGGGAGAGAGAGAGCAAGAGATGGCGGGAAATCGAGATATAGAAGGGATGCGTCCTCTGCCGCCGGCCCCTCAGGCTGAGTCATCTTGCCGCCACGCTGGAACAATGTTTTGGCCAAATTGGGGACTCTGGGGGCATCTTGGGGCCTCTGAGGCCACCTTCGGGCCATCTTGGAATCATCGTGGCCCCTCATTGGGCCATTCTGGGCGATTTGGACGGTATTCAGTTGCCAGTTTGGGGCCGTCTTGGGCAAGCTCAGGGGTCTTGGGGCACATTTTGGGAGCAAAACGTGGGACAGTCAAGACGCATTTAAAACACTATGAATTTTCGACACATATTTCCCTCTCGGGGGCGTCTTGGGACTTCCTGAGCCATCTCAGAGGCATCTTTAGGTAATTTTCGGCCGTCTTGGTTTCTGGAGACCCAGCTCGGGGCCCTTTGAGGCCGTCTTCGAGACCTCTTGGGCTCTCCTGGCCATGCGGTGGCGCCTCCATGTGAATCTGAGGGAGCCTCGAGCGACCAGGGGGCTGACCTTCCCCCCCCCCCATCCAGGAGTTTTGTCTGTCACCATTGCTCGAGCCACCGTTGACGGACTAGGGCATGTCCATTGCAAAGCAGGTGCTCACCGAAGCGTCCTGACTTGCCCCTCCAGTCTGCGCGTCGGCGTTGTATGCTTCCCTGGTGAAACAAAAGGCGATCGACGGTGGAACCGGAGCTTGGGATATCGGTCGTTTAGTTGCGAGCCTCTTTCAGGTGTTTTCGCTTTTGGCGACACGCCTCCCCCCCTCCTCCCAGTCGATATTATGATACTTGAGACAGGACTGGAGAACCAGCATGTAAAACATACAGCGCAGAGAAAGCAAGGCAGCAGTCCAGCAGCATGTTTCACAGTCTTGCGCCCCCAAGAGGGCTGGCGGGTGTTGCACGTAGGATGTGTGGAAGCTTTTTCCCTACCTTGGCTTGTCCAGACGAGTTCTTACTGTATGCAAGGTTGGGACCAGGCCGGTGGGCAAGGCCAGATTCTGAGTGCTGCCATGCCAAAACCAGAATTACATTTCCAGGCCCGGTTCTGATCATCCGGGCGCACCCCGTACAGCCGGTCGCAACATCGTGTTTCCACAGTTCAATTCCATGGGTTGTCTTTGACCATGCGGAGCCAACCTTCATAGCTGGCTGGCTTTTCGTGTAACCAGAATTTCATTAGCAGGATTGTTTCTGCGCATCTGGAGCTAACATTCACGCACTTGGTGCTAATCGTTTAGTCACTACGTCACTCCAGGGCCTGATTTTCAACGTCCGGAGCCAACCCTCGAGCGTTTGGTGTTCATTATTTCATTTCAAGCGTTCAGAGCCAGTCTTCTAGCGTGTGGTGCGCTTCTCGTTCTCATGCTCCGGCTCCAGCTCCAGCTGCAGGCTCACTTCAGCTCCAGCCCCAGTTCTAGCTCCAGCCTCAGCACCAGCGCCTCCAGCTCGGGCTTCGCTCCAACCCCAGATACAACACGAGCTCCAGCCCAAGCCTCAGCTCCAGCACCATCACCAACCCCAGCTCCAGCCCCAGCCCCAGCTCCAGCCCCCGCTCCAGCCCCCGCTCCAGCTCTATTTCCAGTCCATCTCCAGCCCCAACTCCAGCCTTGCTCTAGCCTGACCCCAGTCCCAGCTCCAGCTTCAGCTTCGCTGCAGCCCCATCTCCATCCCCAGCCCCACCTCCAGCTCCAGCTTCGGCTTCGATCCAGCCCCAGCTCAAGCTGAAGCGCCAGGTCCAGTTCCAGGTGAGCTTCTGCCCAGCTCAAATCGAGCTCCCGCTCCAGCCCAATCTCCGGCCCAGTTTCAGCTCCAGCTCAGCTCCAGCTCTAGTTCCATCTCCGTCCTGGCTCCATCTCCAGCTTCAGCTCCAGCCGTGCGGCCTCTCGAATGTCATCCTGTTCGGGTTCTGCCAGCTGTCCCGATTACATGTCTGATGTTGTTTGTATCAGGTTTCGCATTATAGATAGCCCAGCTTATACGTAGCAGTCCAGATCACGCCCCAAGTTGCATGATTACGTATTCTAGCTGGCATGTCCCAATTCATGGCGTTGTACAGCAACGCTTGCGAAACACAAGCTGTGTAGGATACTTGGCGTCTTTGCTCGACTGGGATTCCGTTCAGGCTTCCCTGCATTGGCCGACGGACTCGCAAAAGCAGTTTTCTCAAACATCATAGTTACTGCTTTTCGCGGCACCATTTGTATCCCAAGGCTTTTCTGCCCTGCCAAACCCACTGAACGAGCTCATGGCGCCCCGCTCGTCGTCCACGCCGGCGGCGAGTGCGCGCTTGGCCACGGCCGCAGTGCGCAGCCTCGCACGCGTCGAAGGCCTGGCCCTCGGTCGGCGCCTGGCTGCTGCTGGGGTCCCTGGCCCGCCAGCTGGGCAGGGGCTCCGCTGGGGACCAAGAGTGGCGCGCGGTTGGTGATGCCAGTGGGCGCCGCTCGCGAGGAGTCCGAGGCCCAGTCGTGCGCGACGGAGTTGCTGTGGGACCACTGCGACGAGCCAAAGCAGATATGGCCTCAGTTCATGATGTGCCTCGTGCAACATCTGGACCTGGTGACACCACTTGACGCCGGTCACGAGGAGTCCGAGGCCCAGTCGTTCGTGACGGAGGAGCTGTGGAACGATTACGCGGACCAGGACAACGGCCGTTCCGAGCTGATGGTGCACTTCGTGCACGACGTCGTTTGGGGTTGCGACGGGCAAAGCGGCAGCGCAGTCGACCTCCTCGGCCGTTCCGTCTGGGGTTGTGGCACCGCCGCCGCGGCGCCGCCCGCAGGGTGACTCGTCTTTTGGGACCCTTTCTTTGATTTTGATGAGACGGACCTGGTGATGCCAGTGGGCGCCGCTCACGAGGAGTCCGAGGCCCAGTCGTGCGATCTCGAGGAACAGGACAACTTCAGTTCCGAGCTGATGGTGCACTTCGTGCACGACGTCGTTTGGGGGTGCGGCGGGCATAGCGGCAGCGCAGTCGACCTCGGCGCTTCCGTCTGCGGTTGTGGCACCGCCGCCGCGGCGCCGCCCACAGGGCGACTCGTCTCTTGTGGCCCCTTCTTTGATTTTGATGAGTTGGACCTGGTGATGCCAGTGGGCGCCGCTCACGAGGAGTCCGAGGCCCAGTCGCGCGCGACGGAGCAGCCGTGGGACCACTGCGACGAGCAAGGCCCGATTTGCTTTGAGTTCTTGAGGCGCCTCGTGCAGCATCTGGACCCGGTGACGCCATTGGACGCCAGTCACGAGGAGCCCGAGGCCCAGTCGTGCGCGACGGAGGAGCTGTGGGACGATCTCGAGGAGCAGGACAACTTCAGTTCCGAGCTGATGGTACATTTCGTCCACGACGTCGCTTCGGGGTGCGGCGGGCATAGCGGCAGCGAAGTCGACCTCCTCGGTACTTCTGTCTGCGGCTGTGGCGCCGCCGCCACTGCGCCGCCCAGAGGTTGATTCGTCTCTTGGTACTTGGACCTGGCCAGACGCAGAACGAAGGGCTCCGAAGGCAACGCCTTTCCAGATCACGAAAAGAGATGGGTCCAGAGGCACCCCTCCCCCCTTTCCGTCGCGCTCTGAAAGCTCACATCAACATTTGTTGTATACCAGAAGATGCCAGACGCCTGTCCCCAGGGCCGCAGGCCACCAAGGGCTACTGGAGTATCTTAAGTCCTCCCTCTGGCGGTGGCCTCGGGTGGTTCCGACTCCACCCAGAGTGTCCCAGGAGTGGCTCAAGACCGCCCGTGGGGCTTTCTTCGGATTTCTGAGACGCTGAGAGACGGCCAGGATTGCCTCAAACTGTCCCCAGAGGTTCCTCAGACATTCGGGGGATGCCCCGCATGGGGCCCCGAGACAGCGCCAAGAGGCGACATCCATTGATTTTCGAGAGGCGTCGGACGGATTTCACGTTCTCTGTTTCCGACCGCCCAAGGCGGCTTAAGAGGTGGCCAGAATCGCCCAAAAACGGCCCGAGAGCCCCCCAAGAAGGCCCAAGAGGCACCCAAGACGGCCCCATGAGCGCCCAAAGACGACCCCAGAGGGCTACAGAGTGCCCCCAGATGGCCCAAGAGACCCTCCAAGAGAGCTCAAGACGCCACCCAGACAGCCCTAAGAGGGGCCCCCTACCACGGCGACACCGACAGCTGGCCCCCAGGAGGGGCCCTCGAGAGGCTTCAGAGAGATTCCCAAAGAGGTCCCAACAATCCTTCCTAGAGGCTCCCAGGCAGCCTCCTTTGAGACTCCAAGAAACCTGGAAGAGGCCGCCGTGTCTCGCAGAGTTGTGCTCTATGTTTCTGGGCTGCGTCAGGGGTCCCTTATTATTATGCTGATTCGTATTCGTGTTATTATTATAAGTATTCTTCTTACTCTTATAAGTCAGCTTATCATGATTATTAGTGTTGCTATTATTATTATTATTATTATTATTATTATTATTATTATTATTATTATTACTAGTATTATTATTATTATTCTTATTATTATTATTATTATTATTCGTCTTATTCCTCCTCCTCCACCTCTTATATTGTCTCCTCGCCTTCCTTGGGCCTCGGCAAGGTTTTCCCCCAGCTTTGGAGCCGTGGGCTGCCATCGTAATGAGGCGGCGAAGCACAAGACGCGCCGTTTTTTGCAGCACAAGCACCCGAGCTGTGGCAATGAGAACCGTATAGTCGCCCATTGGCCTGTCTCCGACCAGGTTTATAGGGCCAGCCAGGCCCGCGAGTGCCCCGAATGATCTGGATGTCCGTCGTTTTCTGGCCGCCCCTGTCAGAACCCAGCAGTATACGTGGAGAAACTTCTCGCCTTCCCTCCACCATCCCTCCTTCCTGCTCGTCTCTGTCTGTGCCTGCCTTCGTTCTCTTTTGCGTCCTGTCCCTTCCCTCTTCTGCCTCATGCTCCCCGGCCCCGGCCTTGCCTTGTCCTTCCTGCCTTTCCTGCCTGGCCGATCATGCACGGCGCGCGCTTGCGGCCCCAGGAGAGGTGGTCGGTCTTTCTCCTGGCTGCCGCTGGCGGGCTCCTCCAGCCGGTCCTGCGTCCAGCCTCTCAGGCGGCGGGCCTTCTCGCGCCGTGCTGCCCGCGGTGCCTCGCGCTCCCCGCGCCTCCCAAGCCGCTCCCGTCACAGCGTGCTGTAGGTGTCTGCCGGGACCCTGTCGTGGCCCTCGCTGCCGGTCACCTCGTTATCCTGCTCCAGACCCGAGCCGCAACACCGACGACGGCACGGCGGTGCTCGAAAATGCTGGCTCGACACCGCGGTGTCCTGCGAACCATGGCGCTGAGGCGCCACCGCCCTTCCCGCCAGCGGGCCAGGCTTTTGCCCGAACGGCAGGCTCGCTCGCTCGCTCCAGGCCCGAGCCGTTCGCCACAAAACCGTGGACGACAATGTCTCAAACAGCGCCGAGTATGGCAAAGCCAAGTGCAACGTCGGAGTCCCGACCTTGGCGGATCGCAGCCAGGAGCTGCCCCGAGCCGAACGCACGCGTTTGTGAAAGAGGCGACATCGTGTGCCGACACGAGTCGTCCTCGAGAGTGGCCTCCCTCTGGTCGCCGTCGAAGAAAAATTGCGTCGAAACAGGGAGGCTGTCCAGCCATGCGCTCCAGTCGGTCTGCTCGCTGTAGGTGCCCGTCGCTTACTTACTCCAGAAATTGCAGCGCTCCCGGCCCACCATCAACGTCCAAGCGTATTTGTTGGCTTCTGCGGCCGCGCTTCAGGTGTGCCTTCGCGTCTGCACTCCCACGCGTGCCACTTAGATGCCGCGAGAATTTGGAGGCGATCTTACACAAAGGCTTCCCACGCCTCCCGACTGATCTTCTTCGCGAGCCCATCAGCTGACAGCACGTCCCGCAAAGGGGGCACTCGTGTTGCGCGCCCCTGTGTCAGTCCATGAAGTTTTCGTGACCTTCTCGAGATCGCGCCTTCGTCATTCTACGCCCATCGGCCGCCACGTTGGCGTTCCCGCCGCTGCGCTGTGCGATGCTCGGCTGCCAGCCTCTCGGTGGGGATCGGCGACGCGGCTCGCGCTTGCCAGCTCAGGCGGGCTGTTTCAGCCCAGCGCAGGGGGCCCGGGTCGCAGCTCGTCGGCGGGGCGGCTTCTCTTTCCGACTCCGACCTGCTCGAGTCGCCCGACGCAAATGCCTTTCCACGAGTCGTCCGAGTCGCCGCTGTCGAACTCCCCTTCCGCCGCAGTGTCGCTGCCCTTTGCCTCCTCTGTCTCCTCGGCCACCTCGCTGCAGCCCTGCCGTGCACGCCGTCAGGCGCGGCGCGCGCATGTCCGAGACGGCGCCGATTGCTCGACCGCTCCTTGTATTGATTTTGAGCCCCCAGGGGGTGATAGCCTCTTGGGTAAATCGTGGACAGGTAGAGGGCGCTCTCAGGTCGTTGAGTCGACCAGGCGAATGAAACTCTTCATCGCTCAACAGGCCTTCGGTTGCCACCTCTGGCGGATAGCCTAGCCAGGCTACATTCAGGTCGTTCCTTCAGCCTCGGGGTAGGCCCCCTGGGGAAATACATTTGGGCCTGAAGGGCTTCCGTTAGAGATGAATGGAGCCGCCGCAGGGTCCAGCTCCGACATGAGGGTATCCTTTGCGGTGGCCATCTCGCTCGGCCTCTGGCTCGGCGTCGCGAAGTCGTCGGCCTGAATGAGCGACGCCCTCGAAGTCCTGTTCGCAATTGGGTCCAGGAGCCTTGCGGACCTTGTCGAGGCCCACGAGGAATACTTCCGCAACTGCTGGGCCGCGTTTGGTCTCCACGGCCGCGGGCGGCGGGTTTGGTGTCTGCGGTGCCGCTGCCACCTCCGTGCTTGGCGACTGTGGCCGGACCAGTCCTGGGCCTGTTTCCGCTGCTGCTCCACCAGCATCGCTGGGGCCGCCGTGCTCTCCACGACCGCGTCACGCGCTGCCCTTTCCTGCTTCCGCGCGTCCTCGGGCTGCCTTCCATGCGATCTCGAAGGCCGCGCGCGCGGCGGTCGCCTCCTGCGTCTTTCGCTTCTGCTCCAACTTGGCCTGCGCGTGTAAGGTTTCTGCCCCGTGGTTCTCGCGTCAAGCCCGCGGAGCTCCACACGCTGGGCCTCCAGCTTGGACGTGTCGCCCGGCAGCCCCGAGAGCACGCCCGTGCCGGCACTTCGATGTCGGCCTTGCACTTCGTGGTAGGCTCCCCGCTGCCGCACGAGCTATCTCGCCGCTTCCTCCGCTGCTGGCCGTCTTCTTGGCCCGGGCGTGAGCCTGCTTGCGCCACTCCTTGGCGCGCCCCACCTAGGTTGCCTTGCTGCCTCCTGGGCTCGGCCGCTGGTCGGTTGGCCGCCCCTCGGGACCGTGGGCGGCGTGCCGAACTGCCTCCCCGACCACATCTGGGGCACGACCAGCCAGGCCTCTTCCTCCCACCGTCCCGTCGGCTGCCCCTGCCTCCGCCCTGAGTGCCGTCTTGCCCGACGCCGCGGGTGCCCGTGGAGGGCGCGCCCGGGCTCCACTTGCCGCCGCTGCCTGCGCCCGCGTCGCTGCAGGCCCACGCCGCGCGGTCCCGCCGCGTGCCCGCCGAGCCACTGGCGGTGGCCTGACTCTCGGCTGCGTAGGAGGCTCTCGCGCTCAGCGCGCGCTGAAGCAGGACTTGCGGTCCTCGGGTGCTCCCCGGCCTGGGGCCACAGTGGTTGCGGATCATAATGACGGTGATGTTGCGTATGATGGCCATGATGGTGATTTTGTGGGCGATGTCGATGGCGATGACGACGTTGACGATGATGTTGAGTGCGATAGTGGTGATGTCGATGGTGATGGTGATGATGACGCTGCGGCTGCTGATGATGATGAGGATGATGGTGGTGGCCATGGTGATGATGAAGGTGATGATGAAGATGCTGATTATGATGATGATTAAGATGTCGATGCGATGGAACTGATAGCCATTAATGTTGCAGATGACGATGATGACGACGAAGGTGATATGTACTAGGGTAATCGCGATGTTTCGGTTGTTGATCATGATGGCGGCGAGTGTGATGACGGTTGCGATGATACTGATAATGGTGATGTTGTTGTTGATGATGATGGTGATGATGGCAATAGCGATGGCGATGGCGATGGCGGTGAGTGTGTGTATGACGGTGATCAGGGCGACGACGATGACGGTGATGTTGATGCGGATCATGATGATGATGATGATGATGCAGGTGACCATGCCATTGATCATGGGTCAGATGATGGTGACGATGATGACGATGATGGTTAGTTGTACGATGTTTATGATGTTTGCGTTTATGATGATGTTGCTGATGATGATGATGACGGTGATGATGATGATGATGATGATGATGCTGATGATGATGATGACGGTGACCATTAGATTGATTGCGAATGCGATGGCGGCGACACTGATCATGAGGAGCACGGGTGTGATGATGGAGGTGATGATGATGATTACAATAATGAGGTTGACGGTAGCGATGATGGTGACGAAGGTCATTGTG